AAGCATTTACTACTACTTTTCAGGTGTTTAGGGTTAAAATACCAACAAGAAATTTGATACAGGGTCAGAGAGCTGTTAAATAGAACACATGGAACACGGGTTCAATTCCCAGAATCACATATGGTCAAGCAAGCACTGTGAGGATTGATCCATGAGTAGAGAGTAAAGGAGTAAGTCCTGAATACAGCAATGTGTGAGAAAATTAAGAGGAAGAAAAACTGATATATTTAACCCATAATTTTCCATCATTTCAAATTTTGGCTAATATCTGAATGCCTAATACAATTTGATTGATAAAATTCATTTAAGAGTAGGCAATGAATGTTATTTGTCTTAAAAATTGCTTAACAGATAGATATATACTACATTATTTGAATAAGTATAAATAGAGTATGTTCTATTCATAGTAAATCTCCTTATACAATTAAGACCTGACCTTCACATTTGCAGAGGAAATATTAGCACTCTTGTTTTAGAATCTGCTGAAGAATCTTCTGTTTAAATAAATATGCTGGTGGCTTTCTGAAGCTGGCTAGTTTGCATTGACAGATCTTGGACTGAAACTTAACGTGATGGCTTCTGGGACCTCTGGGTTACAGTTCCAGGTGTCTGCCTGGTGAACCTCAGGTCACTGAATATCATTTTATAAGAAAAATGCCGTATGATCAACATTACATTACAGGAGAAACAGATTTTGAAGAAAGCAAGAGGTAACCCACATTGATTTAAAGGGAGACTGAGGATTTTAAGATAGAACATGGAGGGAAAACCTGAGGTGCAAATAAAAGAATCTATTCAGCCCAGAATGTCAGATTTGCAGCCACAAAGCAGGCTGGGAGTGAGACAGGTCCAGATGGAGCAGCTCTCAGCCCTCAGAATTGCTCCATGTCTCACTTAGCTAAGACCCTGGCAAGCATCTAATCTAACTCCCCAGTGACAACTCTCAGAAGGCCTCTGTGGGTTCTAAAAGAAACTGTCCCTCTGGATTTCATTCTCATCCTCATGGAAGGGTTCATCAGGGATATTAAAATCCCTAGTAAAACTCCAGTAAGTGCAATTTAGGTCAAAGGAGATAACAGATATGCCAGAAAAAGCCAGGAAATGCTCTCTCTTAGAAAAACAACTTCGAAAAGACAAATATTAAAGACTGCATGAATCCTATGGAAACACTGAAAACTTCTGAAAACTTTAATTGCTACATGCAAAATTATGAGTCAGGAGATGGGAAGAAAGGATGCAATTTACAGAAGATTTAGGAGGGATTATTCTTCAATGAGCTTTCCCTCTTAAACTATGAGTGCAGGGAAAACAAAACAGTGGTGTGAATCTTCAAGAATGGGATATCCATGTAGTACCACTTGTAAGTAAATTTCATGACTTCCTCTTTTCTAATAGCTACATAGTACTCCATTGTGTAAATGTACCGAAGTTTCTTTAACCAGTCATCTGTTCTCGGGCACTCAGGTTTTTTCCAATTTCTGGCTATTATAAAGAGTGCTGCAATGAACAAACAAGTGCAGATGTCACTTTGACTATACTTTTTTGACTCTCTGGGATATATTCCCAGGAGTGGGAGGGATACTGGTATCCGTGGTGGTGGGAAATGGGCACTGGTGGAGGGATGGGTATTTGGTCATTGTATAATTGAAACCCAAGCACAAAAATTTGTAAGTCTACAACTGTACCTCATGGTGTCTCACTAATAAAAATTAAAAATAAAGAATGGGATATTCAGAGTGAGAATTTGCATCTCTTAAGAGGGTCTTGGGGCATTCTCAGTGACATTTAATCTGCCTGTGTGGGCTGCATGGCTCAACATTAGGACCTAGTGAGGTGGCACTGGCATATACTCAAGCCCTTTGAACTATCTCCCCTGGCCCAGTAGACTGAATTTTAATGCAATGGTCAGGAGCAAGAGGAAAGCAAAGAGGAGAGAGCTTTGGTTTCAGGCAATGACAGAATACCAAAGAATAAAAAGATGATGCAAAAGCAGTCTATACAGTTTTGCCTTGGAGTACTTAATGAATTTTCAAACTTGAAAAGATAGAAGATTGATAGAAATAATTTAAAGTCTACATTAGAAAATAGAATATGAGTACAAATGTAGGAATTAGAACAATTAGATCCCAGTGCACTAAAATGGATAAAATATCACTTTAAAGAATCTTTGAATTGTATAGACAAGGAGAAAAGTGTTTTCAGAAGGAATAAAAGTCCTAAAATATGCAAAGTGTATAGGTGGTGTAAGAGGGGCATGTGTAAGAGTCACAGATAACTAAACTTGACATAAATCCAGTGATTAAGGCTCTCATGGGTTTTTTTTTTTTGGTACCAATATCCTCTTATAATAGTAAGAACAAAAATGTGGCTCAAAGCAAGTAGGGACCATGCTTTGCATATGTAAGGTCCTGGGTTAAGCCTCTGGCTCATATTTCTACCCAGAATCAGCTTGTTTGATTTTGATGCTTACTGAAAATAGCAAAGAATTGGCTCTTTGCTACAAATTCTGGAATGGTCACATATCTTCCACTAACCATTTTAATGGTTTGCTCATTTTTATTTGTCTTTTTTGGGAATATTGTGCTTAGGCAATTCCCACTAGTGGTACTCAGTGGCCATTCCTGGCTCTGTACTCAGGAGTGACCCGCAGCAATGTTCAGGGGACCATATGTGATACTGAGGATCAAAACAGTCAGCTGTTCTCTTTGTCCTCATTTTTTTTGGTGGGTGGGGCATACCTGGTGGAGCTAAAGGTTTGCTCCTGGCTATGCATTTAGGGAGCTCTTCTGGTGGTGCTTGGGGCCCATATGTGGTGCCAGTTATTGAACGCAAGTTGGCCACATGCAAGGCAAATGCCCTACTCACTGTACTATCTTTTCAGCACTTCTTTGATCTACTTAAAGGACGCCTTCATCAAATTAGAAATTTTTGTTCTCCTTAAATAACTTTTCCATGGTGAATTTAAATCTGCACAGTTCTATTCAATCATAATTTCATTCATAGATTCTACAAGGTCAACTGGATTCTTCCAAGCTATATTATTTTACATTATGATGTCCTCAAGAAACTTGGAAGATTTCTCCAAGGAGAATATTTCCCCAAAGTGGCATCATTCAAACTGCATGGCATACGTTGGACCCTTGAACATCTTACATGATTTAAGAGAATAATGAAGTCAACAAGATATTTTCAGACAACCCATTTTGTGTAAAATATGCTGACAGAGCTAATTGTACTCACGGATTTGGAGAGCAAAAAAAAAGTAGTATGGAGAAAGCATGAGGTTAAAATTTCTTGGGTGTCCTTTATTTATTTATTTATTTGCTTTTTGGGTCATACCTGGCGATGCACAGGGGTTACTCCTGGATCTGCACTCAGGAATTATCCATGGCGGTGCTCAGGGGACCATATGGGATGCTGGGAATCGAACCAGGGTCAGCTGCGTGCAAGGCAGACGCCCTACCTGCTGTGCTATTGCTTCAGCCCCAAGGGTGTCCTTTAATTAAAAAGCTTGATTAACAGCTTTTTTTGGAGGGAGATTCAGTCTAATTGTCTACTCTTCTGTCCTTCCTTGTCTGTTTTCTTTACTTCTTATAGGCAAAACTATGCCTGAGGTTGCACATGCAGAAATTCAGGGCTGGAGTTATACTTAAAATGTATTTTTAGTCACTTACCCACTAGTATGTAAGGGTTCTCAACAGTTTCATTTCCTGGACACTTCTTGCTTCAGAGCTAGAAAGCCATAGAGTCAGTGGGAGCTCCTCTCTAACTCTCAGTGGGGCTATAAATTCTGTTCATGGGGATTTTAAATGTCCACTGAAAAGGAGGACCAGAAGGCACCCTTACACCCAACACTCACAGCATTTAGTGGCTTATCACTTAAAAGGAGGTTTCCTCCTCTAATGACCATAAGAACCTGCAAGGGCCTATATAACTGACAAGCCATGGCGAGATAAATGATACTCCCTCCTTACTCTGTAATAAACACACTCTTAAATAAAGGTAAACCTGCCCTTGGCCTTTAGCTAGATGACAGCTAAAACTACATTAGGTATGACTCTGCTACTTTCTAGAGTTTCCTCATTAAAAATAAAACGTACACTCAAATAAGAAAATGAATCCTTGGGATTGGAAAAGAGTCACTATCAACCAGGAAGACTGGACAATAATCTTCATTGTAGCAGCACCATTTCACTGTCACTGTCCTCCTGTTGTTCATTGATTTACTTTAGCGGGCCCAGTAACGTCTCCATTGTGAGACTTCTTGTTACTGTGTTTGGCATATTGAATACTCTCAGTAGCTTGCCAGGCTCTCTGAGAGGGGCGGAGGAATCGAACCCAGCTTGGCTGGGCTGGCTGTGCGCAAGGCAAACGCCCTACCGCTGTGCTATCACTCCAGCCCATTTAATTAATTAATTTTTTACCATTCAATTTAAATTTTTTGTAAGAATATCACAAGCAGTGTTCAAGAGACCTGGAAACTCCACTGATGAGTCTTGACTTCACTAGTGGTTCAATGCATGGACACAGTGAGGTGATGCTGCTTGGGCTCTGCGGTGTGGGGGGATACCAAGCCCAGCATGGTGTTGCTTAGAACCCTCCAGAGCTGCACCCAGCAATATATGGAGCACCATGTGGATGCCAGGAATGAAACTCAGGTCAGGGGCATGCACACGGACTATTATACTATCCCCTGGCCCACAACCACCACATAAAGAATAAATAAATTCCCATTCTGAGGTTGCATTTTGTGTCTGATTTTTAAGAGATTTCACACATCTGCCTTCTTTCAATGAGCTACAGTTTACTATAAGTGGTGATCAAGAATATTTATGGCTAATCTCTGAATATTTAATGACAAATACATGGTTGAGGTATCTTATAGATTGCCCACAGAAATGGTACGCTTCATGTATATACAATTCATGTGTATATACTTCATATTTCATGCATGGAGTCATGCTTCTTAAGCCCACTCACAGACAGAATCCTTGCCATACCTTCATGGGAGCCAGCTGGATGGGTGTGATGCATGAAGGATCCACCATGGGCTTTGGCCTGTTGGCGGTGTCTGCTAACAGGCTATGCCATTGCTGGGGAAGGCCTGTAAACTTCTGTTCTTGAGGATCAAATCCAGTATGAACCCTGTGTTCAAAGTTGGATGGGCCCGATATTTCAATCTTTTTCTTTTTCTTCCCAAACATGGTGCCAAAACCTGAGAAACAAACAGAAAAGAAGTGTCTTTCCAGCAGAAGAACAGGGGATGGTTACAATTCATGCTTATTTATCACTTTTGGTTAAGGGCCCGTTGATCGTCGATTTGCTCGAGCGGGCCCAGTAACGTCTCCATTCGAGACTTTGTTGTTACTGTGTCTGGCATATCGAATACTCTCGGTAGCTTGCCGGGCTCTCCGAGAGGGGTGGAGGACTCGAACTCGGGTCGGCCATGTTGGCCGCTTGTAAGGCAAACGCCCTACCCGCTGTGCTATTACTTTTGGTTATTCCTCTAAATTTCAGCTGCGCCCTGGCAAACTAGATCTGCAGGTTGTGCAGATGAACAATTCCATTCCCTTTCCTGGTGCTATCATCTCCTTGCATCTGCCATATGCAGTTCCTGTATGACTTGCTTTGACCATGAACTGTAGAGGGTGTAGACAGTGTTCAGCATGGAGTTTTCAGAACATTGTGTATTTCCATTTTTTTTCTTGTGATCCTGTCACTTGGCAAGGAGATCCCTCTAGAAGATCCTACAATGGAAGATGCATGAAGCAGACATATATCTGGCTTCTAGTTTGGAGCCAAGATCAACCAAGCCACAGCTGAACTTCGATTGAAGTTGTGTGTAAGACAAAAAATTGTTGGCTGTGAAATCACTGAGATTTTGCACTTGTTTGTTACAGGGTATTAACAAAGCAGAAGTGGTTGAGAGCACAGGGAGAAGCATCATAAAGTAGGTATGTAGGGTATTGGAAAATTATATGATTGAAACTCCACCCTCAAAAGAAAAAAAAGGAAATGCTTTCTAATCATAAACTCAGTAATGGCCAACATTTGTTAAATACTTTTTGGGAACTGTTAAATCACTTTCCATTAGCAATAGAAAGTTTCATAAAAAATAAAAGTTTGGTATGTAAACAAAATTGAAAACATTTTTATGAAAAATATAATAAATGTATGTATACAGGTAGGTTTAATGATTACATTCACTACATAGAATTATTAGGATTCAACAAACAGGGCTGGAGTGATAGCACAGCGGTAGGGCATTTGCTTTGCATGCAGCCAGCCCGGCCGAGCAGGGTTCGATTCCTCCACCCCTCTCGGAGAGTCTGGCAAGCTACCGAGAGTATTCAATATGGCAAACACAGTAACAAGAAGTCTCCGAAGTCTCAACAAACAGTTGTAAAACGCTTATTAGGATGTAATCTCCACCTATAAAAGGAATGCTCCATGCATGTTCATCACTATTTGCCAGTGCTGGCACACAGCAGTACTCAAGAAATACTTCCTGGGAGTTGGAGAGACAGTGCAGCACATAGAGTAACTGCCTTCTGCACAGCCAACCCAGGTTTGATCCCTGAGACCCTGAGCACCACCAAGAGTGATCCCTGAGTGCACGGCCATATTGAGTGCACGGCTTACTAGCTTTGAGCACTGCTAGGTGTGCCCCAAAAACAAATCGAAAGAAGTGAAAGGAGGAGAAATATCCACTGATGATCAAAAATCACCCAAAATTTAGGGAATAGCCCCTGGGGTCAGGGTCTCACAGACTCTCACAGAGTTCTTACATTCTTTCCTTGATTTCCTCTTCTTTTTTTGTCCCTTCACTTTCCACTGAAATTCTGCTTCAGGTCAGAAAGATAGCTCAAGGGGGCTGAGCATATATATGCTTATATCTAAATGCTTATATTTATATATTTTATATAATATTTATATATTATATATTTTATTTATGTAATATACTTATACATTATGTATAAATAATTATATAAATATATTTATATATTATATATTTATATATATAAAGCATATATATGCTTTGCCTGTGGGAGGCCTGGTATCACACGGTTCCCCTGAACAATGCTGGGAGCAAGACCAAGCACAGAGAAACCCCTAAGCACTCTTAGGCATGGCCCAAACCCAAAATCAATAAAAAAAATAACAGCAAAATTCCATTTCTTCTCATACTCCTGTGAATGACAAAGGAAGGGTTCCAGTGCTTTATCCCATGGAGGGGCAGAGGGACACAGTAGGAAAAATGAAGATCTGCTCCACAGCTGTTTCTCTCCAATGCACCTGTCCATGACGGTGTTTAGTGTACAATGTGTCTGGTATCATTTAAGACTCATAATTACTCCATGTTCGGAATCTCCAAGACCACCTTCAGGTTTGGAGGCTCATAGGACACTCAGTCACACTCTGGTCTGAGGTTTGTTACAGTGAAAGTAAAATCAGCAAAGGGAAAAGTACCAGGGCAAAGGGGAGAGCTGGTGCAAACTGCCAGGGTACAGATTCATTCCTCTCACTCTGAAACTGACATCACTTGTGAAATTTTATGTACCAGATAAGCTCATTAGCTATTCAGTGTTTATTATTTTATTTGCTACTAGTCATTCAGGAACCCTATGCCTATTTCATGGAAAAAATAAAAAGATTCCATAGGGAAAGCAGAGCTCGGATTAAGCCATGCTGTTTGCATAAACTGTGGGTGCACAGTGATCCATTCTTATCAGCAAGTGGTGGGAACTCGTCTGGGATCCAAGTTCCCAGATATACCAGCCAAAGGCCACCCTTGGGAACAGGCTTTTCTATGAAAAAGAGTTTGCCGCTTGGTATGTAAACTCTTTTCCTACATAAGAACTGTTAACATCTTAGCTCCATTTTACAGAGAAGACACAAACACTTAAGAGCCCAGATTAGAAACTGCAAAGCTAGTCTCAGAATCTCAAAAAACTTGTTTTTAATGCCTGGACAATGCATTACTCACCAGAACTTACCTTTTTATACTGATGTGCTTTGCCCCTTCCTTCTTAAGGAATGTTTTCCCCTTGGAGATCTAATGTGGTGGGAATGGTGAGTTCAAATAAGCAGCTATGAGATTCTGAAGGTTTCTTGGATCCTCATGTTTCACTCCCAGAAAATTTCTGAGACTCAGCAGGACCCTGAGCAGATAAGATTAAGACTTCCGTAGCCAAGCATATTGAACTCCAGAAAGTCTACTTCTAGAGCAATTTGGTAGATATCTTTCTATATAAAAATGTTGCAACAGGTTTCGAAATGAGGTATTCCAAGATTAATGTATAATGTTTCCTGATGTTTTTCCTAATGTTTTCCTAGTGTTTCCTAAATAACAGCACATGTGATTGTTCACTTAACAGCTGGACTAAGCATGCATTCCTGGCAATAGCAGCTCTCAAAAGTTAAATACTTGTGAGGTGAGGAGGTGGGGATACTGTCTCAGATAAACTTGAGGAACAACGGTTTATAATAACTTCCTATGTGGGATTTCTCAAGGTCTTTATTATCTTATGTGTAGTTACTTTCTAGAGAAGGACACTAAATGGATTCCCAGAATCCCTGATCTTAGAGTTTCTTACAAAGTTTGGATTTTTTTTTTCTTTTTGGATCACAGCCAGCAATTCACAAGGGTTACTCCTGGCTCATGCACTCAGGAATTACTCCTGGCGGTAATCGGGGGACCATATGGGATGCTGGGAATCGAACTCCGATTGGCCACGTGGGTTTTCTTCAGTCTCTTCTAAGACAGCCCCTACCACATACACACACAAACATACACACACACCAAACAAACAAACAAACAAAATAACAGTAATCAAAACCATCCATTCAAGTTCTTATAAAATCCAAACTGAAGTAAATCCATACCTAATAATTTAAGTGATGTCTGGTACAGTTAGAACTGCTAAACAATAATATATTAAAAGAAGCTCTTTGAAGACATAATCAGTGGTAATAATATTAGCTGATATTAAGAGAAAATTTCCTAGACTCAGGATTCTATACTCTGTGTGATAACCATCCTCTTGTATGTTGACAACTCTAGAAGCTTGTTACTTTGTGAGTGTTGGGAAGGGGTTTACAAGGTGAGTAGACTTGATTTCCTAATGTGGCCTGGTATACAAATGATAGAAGTGGATTAAACCTAAGTTACTCTAGATTTGGCCCGTTAGGGATGTGATTGACCATCTGATCACAAAGCCCTACTCCGCTGGCAATTATCAACTTCTTTCACTTAGTGTAAAATGTAGGCAAAGCCAATAATCATGTCCCTGCGCCCAACCTGTTATTCAGGATGAAGCTAAGTCCCAAACTGTGTGACATCAAAAAGCAGGAGGTTGAATATGAACAATCACATGTGAAAGCTTGTGAGAGGCAATATCTTTTTAAAGATTAGAATTTGCAAAAATAAAAAACTCCCTAACAAAATTAAATAAAATATAACATATTTTCTTTGTTTTTGTTTCGGAGCCATATCTGGAAGTGCCCAGGGCTTAGTCATGGTCCTTTGCTTAGGGATCACTCTTGCTAGGGGAACCATATGTGGTATTGGAGATTGAATTGGGGCTGGCCAAGAACAAGATAAACTCCTTACCATCGTACTAATATCTCTGGCCCTGAATAAGGGATTCTTGTAAACGCTTACGAAAAGAGGTCATTACAAGAATGGTGTAAAAAAAAAACAGTCACAATGTAGTTCTTGATTCACAATGGTAAAATATATATATATATCATAGTTCTTATAAGTAATGGCAAAAAAATCACAATATATAAGAATCATTTACTGGTATAACCAAAAATGGCCTTCCAAATTTGTATTGGGAATATAGGAGGGGTGAACAGATTTTGTAGTAAAGCTCAATTTTCTCTAATACAACATATCACAGCAAAATACAATGGAATAGGGTTGCCTAATATTTATTTAGCTGCACACATATATTTTTAGTTCTGTACAAAAACTAAAAAAACATTAAGAAGGCAAGTGCCATGCATTGTGGACTCAGTGGGCAATATCCTATCAGTTCTAAACTATGCTGGTGGGCACTCAGACTGAGTACTGCTGGTAGATGGAACCATAAAAAAACTACAGAGGGCTGAAGAGACAGTAGGTAGAGCATGTTCTTGACCCAGATTCTATCTCTGACGTCTATAATCCAGTGATTAGTGCCAGGGGTGATCTCTGAGCATAGAGGCAGG